CAACTCCATTCGCAGATGAGGAAACTGAGGCACGGGGCAGTTCTGGCTGCTCAGCCAGGAGGCGTCTGAAGGCGGCAGGTACGTGCTTACTACCTGTCACCCCACAGAGCCAGCGTGGCCCATTCATGACGCTCCGGGCACACAGTGGGGCGCGCAGGGTCTGGCTCAAGCTTGGCCCGGAAATCCCAGGCGGGGGAGGTAACTTGCCCGGTGCTGGGGTCTCAGGACCGCCAGCCCGGTGCTCCGCACCATCCCCAGAGCCGCCACCAGGGACCCCTGAATTGCGAGCCCCGGAGCCCCGGAGTGGCCTCGGCGGGTGCTGGCTCAGACGGTGAACAGATGCTTGCTATTTTAAACCCACTGTTAACTCATTAAGACAGCTGTTTCCCATCCCCAAAGTCGGCGGAATTAGAATTAAATTCATTCCGGAATTAAACACACACATACACACACGCACACCCCGCCACCGTTTAGAGGCGAAACTTGTTAGCATTTAGGCAAGCTGTGTCTCTGAGCCTGGGGACCCGGCTCAGCTTCCTCCTGACAAGTGACATCGTGGCCCAGCGGTCAGCAGCCAGGGCCCAAATGCCCCAGGGCCTGGATTCTTGTGTCTGCCCAGGTCTCTGCCATTGGAGTCCAGCTGGCACCTGGCACCTCCCTGGATTTCTCCCTGACCCATCAGGCCCAGCAGGGCCCTCACAAAACTCAGTGTCTGCCCTGAATCTATTTCTCCTCTTGTCACAGCAGAGGCCAATGTCACCCCTCTTTCTCCTCTCCTCTCACCTCTCATGTCCACATGGTCAGGACTTCCTGGTGATGCTACTTCTAAAAGGCTTTGCTCTTCCCTTACTGCTACTGCACTGGTCTGAGCCTCCCTCACCTCCAGCCTGGATGCCTGCCCCAGACACCTCCCAGGGCTCCCAACTTCCACCCTCACCCTCGACTGTCCATTTCCCCTTACTGGTCAGAGGGGGTCTTCTTAGAGTTGAAATCAGACTTTGTCACCTTTTCGCTTAACACCTTCCAGTACTGGGCTGTCCATTAGGACTTTCTGGGGTGACAGGAATGTTTTAGACCTGTGCCACCCAACGTGGTCCTCCCATGTGTCTACAGAATACTTGAAATGTGGCCACTGTGAGTGAGGAACTGCATTTTAAAATTTTATTTCATTTGAATGTATTTAAATATTCACAAGTAGCCGGCAGCCCTCGTATTGGCCGGCGCAGCCCTGTGGGCCCCAGAGCTGATGCCATTGGCTGCCGGCTCAGATCCCCGGAAGTCCTGGCTGGGATTCCAGCGCTGGCTCTCGGCCCGAGGATGCTCTGCCGCCGCCCATGGCAGGCTGGAAGTGTCGCAGAATTCACGCTTTTCCTGCCAGCAGCCCCAAACCAATGGTGCATTGGTTGGTGCATAAATACCCCAGCGCCCTCGTCCTCAGGGCGGGACAGCTCTAAGTTCATGCCCAACACAGACTCCCAGAGCTCCCCCGTGGGACTGAGCCCCACCTGCCACCGGCTCACGAAGGAGCCCCTGTGCGTTACTTCTCTTCCCTCTCTCACCTCCCCACGCCCCTCCTGCGGCTTGTCCCACATACGCGACTTGTCCCGAAATCCTTGTCGCAGGGGCTGTTTTGCAGGAACCCGACCAGGCCAGGCTCCGTGTGGCACAGGCGGTAAAATGCGACCTGCTCATCACGATCTGCAAGCCCTCCAGCATCAGCCCCGTTCCCTCTTCCTTCCCTGCCATCCACGCCAGCCACACCGTCCTCGTGTCTCCTTCAGACACGTCGAACCCCCCTTGCCACAGGACGTTTGCTCCTGCCGTTCACACGCCCTGGAACCCTGGTCTTCCCCAGCCTGTCCCTGCCTCAGCCTTCAAGTCTTGTGTTTTGTTTTTGTTTTTTAAATTATTTATTTATATATTTTTTGACACAGGGTCTCGCTCTGTGGCCCAGGCTGGAGTGCAGTGGCATCATGATAGCTCACTGCAGCCTCCAACTCCTGGGTTCAAGCGATCCTCCTGCCTCAGCCTCCTGAGTAGCTGGGACTACAGGTGCCACCACCATACCTGGCTAATTTTTTATATTTTTGTAGAGATGGGGTCTTGCTATGTTGCCCAGGCTGGTTTCAAACTCCTGGGCTCAAGTGATCTTCCCCGCCTTGGCCTCCCAAAGCGCTGAGATTACAGGTATGAGCCACCTTGCCCAGCCTACTTGAAATATTCTTGCTCATTAATTTCAACATAGGTAAACATTTCCCTCCTCGGATAGACGGAGCTCCACGAGGGTTGGGACGGGGTTTATCTTGGTTGTTTCTGTGTCCCTAGTGCCTATAGTGCAGGGTCTGACACATAGGAGGTGCTTAGCAAATGTGTCATGAATAAATAGATGAAATGACACCCTCAACAAATCCCAGGTGCTCAGGAAGTGTGATCTGGTGGCACCCCAAGAATGAGATGTGTTCTAGCAGTAAAGGTGCTAGGAGATGCTGGAGTCTAGAAGCATCCATCCACGGATGAATCCTCAGAGAAAACACAGATGCTTCCAATCCCCCACCAGCTCCCACAACCCTGCTGGGAGTCTGTATACAGAGCTGATGCCACGTGCACATTGCTCTTTGAAATTTGTGTCCAATAATCTATAGTAATCAAGACAGGCAGTATTGGCATAAGGATTGACGAATAGATCAATGGAATAGAATCGGGAGCCCAGAAAGAGACACCCCCCAGACACACACACACGGTCATTTGCTTTTAGACGATCCAATCACTAAAGGCAAGTGTTTTCAGCAAAAGCTGCTGGAACAACTGGCTACCCAATTGTGAGGAGGAAAAAGGATGAACCCCACCCCCTACCTCACACCATACACAAAAATTAATTCAAGGCTGAGCGCGGCAGCTCACGCCCACAATCCCATACAAATGCGCTGGCAGTTTTGCTAAATATTGTCTCCGAATCCCAGCCCTGGGAGGGGCGGGGGGGGGAGGCTGTCCATTTGCTGTCCCACCGGCAATGAACAAGAAAGTCTGTTTGCCACATACAAGTGGATGATAGAACAGGGCTCCCCAGGCAGGGAAGCCGGGGGGCTGTCCCTCCTCTTAAGCCTTGGGGGATGGGAAGGGCTGGCGGTTGCTTCAGCGGCAGGAGTAAAAGTCAGGGGTCCCGTCAATATTAGCAGGGGCATCCCACAGTTGTCAGGGCGAAGGACGCGGGAGTGATCGCTATGGGGCGATCACTGCAGGCTTGCCCGCTAACCCTGTGACCTCGCGCAGGGTACCTGAAGCCTTTGGGCCTCAGTTTCCTCATCTGCAAAATGGATTTGACATCAACTGCATGGCATGGAGGGGTTATATGTCTTGAGCACTTAGCATGGGGTCTGGCATGCAGGAGGTGCTCAATAAATGTTAGCCTGGTGGCATGACCAGCCCGGGCCAAGAGCGAGACCCCGTCTCTGCAACAAATAGAAAAATTAGCCGGACATGGTGGCGCATGCCTGAAGTCCCAGCTACTCGGGAGGCTGAGGCAGGAGGATCGCTGGAGCCCAGGAGCTGGAGGCTACAGTGATCTGTGATGACGCCACGGCACTCTGGCCCGGGTGACAGAAAAAAAAAAAAAAATCAGCCCATATTTGTTGAGTCATGAGTTACTAAGACAGGACTTAGGAAATGCCAGCCCACTGGCGTCAGGTGACGTGAATCTGAGTCTCTTCTTTGTCCCCATCACACAGGGTGGGCCCGGGCTGGTCCTGCCTCTCTCTGGGCTACGTGCCCCCTATCTGTGAGGAGGGGGAGCAAAAGAATGTCTGACCCCCAGGTGGCCCATCCGTGGGTGTCCATCTACCCTTCCCACCCCTGGTGGCCGGGAGGAGCCCTGGGCAGAACGTGGGCCACGGAAGGAGGCGGTGGACCGTGCGGCAGCCCAGGACGTCTCACCCTGCGTGGACGGATCCCTCTTCCCGGCGATGTTTCCTGTCTCCGCGCGTTTAATTATCCTGGCACAAAACCAGGGACCTTGGAGCAGGACAGGAGGGGAGAGGAAAGCAGTGATCTGACCTCGGCCAGCAGATCCGTTCCATTTGCGGCCGGACACCTGTCCTGGCAGGGGCCGGGCTGGGAGGACGCCAGCGAGGCGGGAGGTTCGGGGTGCGAGGGGCTGGGGGGCGGATGCCGAGGCTGGGCCCGGCCTCTTAGCTGTGGCGCTTGGGCGGGGGTCGTCCTGTCTCCGCACGCCAGCCCCCTCCCGGGAGACGGGGGCGGGGAACGGCAGCCCCCCACTCGAAGCGCGACGGGAGGCAGCTGCGCTCAGAAATGCGCGTCGACTCGGAGAGATGCTGAGACGGACGGTCGGAGAGAGATTCGTCGGGACAGAAAAGGAATCAGAAAGGCGCACAAAGAAGAGACAGAGAGGAAGAGACCAGCACGCAGATGACACTACTGCCACCTTCCTCGGGGGGTCGCGGGAGCCTCGGGAAGGTGACGCAGGAAGAGCCCTGGCACTGTGTGAGGGCCGAGTCCACGCTGCTGGGGGCCCCCGACCCCGCTTGCGGACCCAGGAGCCGAGGACACCCTGAGACTTCAAGAAGAAGGCTGCTCAGGCCGCCCCCAGTCAGGGACCCAGAATGTTCTATTGGCCCCAGGCAGCCGGAGGTTCCTGCAGGGGGAAGGATGGAACAGGATGATGTCACAGAGCCTGGGGACATCTAGAACCCAGAGGGCTCCCGGCCTCAGTGTCATCTGCCAGAAAGGCCACCGAGGCCAGCAAATTCTGAGAGCAGCCTTCGAAGGCGCCATGCACGCCGGGCTGCCCTCGGGAGCACGTTCCGCCTAGAGCCCCGGTCCCGGCGCCTCCGCGTCCCTGCCTCCGCCCTGCCAGCCACTGCAGCTCCCCACCGCTCGCGGCGTCCGGCCACGGGCCCCCTGGGAGGCCCTGGACATGCCCCACGGCCTCCCGTGTGCTGTTCCCAGCGGGACCTAGCTGCGCGCAGCCTGAGGAGGGGGCGGCCATGGGGCGGCAGCGGCTGGCCCCGGCGCTGCTGGCGGCGTTCAAGGCCTTGCTGATCCTGCCGGCGCTGCTGGCGCCCTCGCAGGCGGTGGTGCGGGCCGTGCTGGAGGACAACGCCAGCACCGTGGACTTCGCAGACCTGCCGGCGCTGTTCGGCGCCCCCCTGGCCCCCGAGGGCGTGCGGGGCTACCTGATGGAGGCCAGGCCGGCCAACGCCTGCCAGCCCATCGAGGGCCCGCAGCCGGGCAACCGCTCCCTGGGCGCCATCGTGCTGATCCGCCGCTACGACTGCCCCTTCGACCTCAAGGTGCTGCACGCCCAGCGGGCCGGCTTCGAGGCGGCCATCGTGCACAACGTGCGCTCGGACGACCTGGTGCACATGGCCCACGTCTACGAGGACCTGCGGGGCGAGATCGCCATCCCCTCGGTGTTCGTGGGCGAGGCCGCCTCGCAGGACCTGCGGGTCATCGTGCGCTGCGACAAGTCGGCCCACGTGCTCCTCCTGCCCGACCGCCCGCCGTGCCCGGACCTGGACTGCCACCCGGTGCTGGCCGTCTCCTGGGTGCTGGGCCGCAGCCTGGCCCTGGCCACGTCCGTGCTCTTGGTCCTGCGCCGCCTGTGGCTCTGGGTCCGGGCCTGGTGGGCCCGAGGGCCGGCCGTCAAGGCGCCCGCCTGCAGGAAGGCCCAGGTCCGCACCTTCACGCGGCGCCACGACCTGTGCGCCATCTGCCTGGACGAGTACGAGGAGGGCGACCAGCTCAAGATCCTGCCCTGCTCGCACGCCTACCACTGCAAGTGCATCGACCCCTGGCTCGCCCAGGCCGCCTGGCGCTCGTGCCCCGTGTGCAAGCAGTCGGTGGCCGGCACCGAGGACGGCTCGGACTCCACCGTCGACAGCGTCTGCGATGGGGACCCCTCCCTGCCCGGCCACCGGCCCCCCATTTGGGCCATCCAGGCCCGGCTGCGCTCCCGGAGGCTGGAGCTGCTGGCCCGAGCCGGCCCGTGTGGCCGCTGCAGCCCCGAGTCCCTGGCCCCGGCTGAAGCCACCGCGGCGACCTCCGACAGGTCCCTGGGACGGTCCTGAGGCCCTGCAGCCTCTTGGCCAGCCGAGGTCTGGGGCGGGGAGGGTGGCGGTGAGGAAGGGTTCTAGTCTGGAGAAAATAAAGTGGATTTGAAATCAGATTCTCGCCCTCGCTGCCGCCAGACTGCCTGGCCTCTGGCTGGGGACAAGGACACCCATCCTGGCTGAGTCCAAGGCCGGCCTCGGTGTCTGCAGCTGAGTGAGGAGACAGCGGGCTGAGGGCCGGCGCCCCTGCCTGAGTTCCAGTCCTGGGCCCAAGGGCCACCGACCTTGACACACTCTTTCATTCTTCATGTACTCTTCTAAAGGCTGTTTGAGTCGGGATCTAGATAAAGTCTAGACGTGTGGTGGCCTCTCGAGTCTCTTTCCATCCATAGCTTCTCCCTCCCTTCCTCTCTCTTTTAGTTTTTCTTTGCAGTTTATTCGTTCAAGCAACTGGATCATCCGTCCCGTGATGTCCCCTTTCTGGATTTTGCCTTGTGGTGTCATTTAACGTGTTCCTCTGTCCCCAGTATTTCCTGTGAACATGTAGTTGGATTCAGAGACCAGATCGGATGTGGTTTAATTTTACGGTGGGCCAGGGGCAGTGGCTCACGCCTGTCATCCCAGAACTCTGAGAGGCTGGGGCAGGAGGATCGCTAGAGGCCAAGAGTTTAAGATCAGCCTGGACAACATAGCGAGACCCCCGTCTCTACCAAAAATAGAAAAATTAGCCAGGTGTGGTGGTGGCACCTGTAGTCCCAGCTACTTGGAAAGCTGAGACAGGAGGATCCGAGACCCAACCACAGCAGCTCTAGTGCACAGGGCTTATTTGCTCATGAATGTGGGAGTCAGCCCAGAGACGGCACGGAGGCTTCATGGTGTCTGGGGCTCAGAATTCTTCCATCTTACCTCTCCACATCCTCAGGAAGTGGCATCCTCTTCAGGGAACAAGGTGGCTGCTTGAGCTCCAGCCATCATATCTGTCTTCCAAGCAAGGAAGAGGAAGGGGTGAGGAAGGGCTCATAGCACTTCTGCTCATGCTGCATCGGCCAGAACTTAGTCATGTGGCCACACCTGGCTAAAAGGATGCTGGGAAATGTAGTCTTTATTCTGAGTGACCAACTGTGCCCTGAAAACCAGGGATTCTCTTACCATGGAAGAGGAGGGAACAGATATTGGAGCTGTCCAGCACTGCTTGACACTCACACACACTCATGAAACCTGGCCCTCCATGGCTGCCCAACACATATTTGGTGAATGAGTGAATGAATGAATGAATGAATCGATAAACCCCCACACCTCCAGCTTCAACCTCCTTTGGGGTGGGATGAGCTCCCCGTCACTGGGATGGAAATCAGCTCTTACTGAGGCCCTACCGTGCACCACGCCCCAGGCCAGATGGCTTCACTCCACTATTCAACCTCTCTGAGCCTCAGTTTCTCCACCTGTAAAATGGAAACAGCAACGGCACCTGCCCCTCTGGGGTTTTCTAAGTAGGGACAATGCTGAGCACAGTGTCTGCCACCTGCTAAGCGCTCTGTATGCATTTGTTGATTGACTAACTGACCTGCCCACAGCTTGGTTATAAGATGGGGTGATGGGGAAAACTCAGGCACTGCGTCAACCCACAGGGAAGTGTCAGACTCATTCCAGAGAATCTGGAAGCCTTCCCAGAGGTGGTGTCTTCTAGACTGAGATCAGAATGAGCAGCGCTCAGTGCCATGAAAAGGAAAAGTGATCCCGGCAGCTGGAACAGCATGGGCAAAGCCCCTGAGCAACATGGTCTGGCATCCAGCAGGTGCTTAATAAGTGTACATAGAGTTCCCTGCCCCCGCTCAGGGCCCGCCTCCTCTGAGAAAGGGCCTCAGCTTCATCCCAGCCTCCTCCGTCCCCCAACAGCCAGGCCCGGGCCCTTCTCCAGCCGCCTCCACGAAAGCAGAGGGCTGCCAAGGACTGGCAGCTTCGCAAGGCCGCCTGTGCCAGCCCCGCCGGCCCCCGCCTTGGCTGCTGTTCCCCGCGAGCAGCAGCCGCGGCCCCCTCCCGCTCGACCAGGCGGTGCCCCGTCTGTGTTTGTCTAAGGGGACGTGTGGTCAAACGGGGAAACTGAGCCCCAAGGAGCAGGGCACTCGGAATGGCTGGAGCCGCCAGCCCTGCCACAGCGTGCACTGTTTGGGGAGGCACCTTGGGGGAGGCGGCGTTTGAGGGACACATAGGAGCTCGCCAAGAAAAACAGAAGTTGGGGGGTGCGGTCGATCCGGTGTACCTTGGAGGATGGCAAAATAAGCCCACAAGGACTCAGACGACAAAGGGCTTGGGGATTAAACCTCCCTCCCTCCCCCAAGAGAGGCATGCTAATCTCACCTTGAAAGAACAGAGAGGTTATGCAATCTGCCTGAAGCCACACAGCACACCAGGGACTGAGCCGGGATTTGAACCCAGGCTCACAGAGCCCCGTGCACTTTACTTTTTCACTCAACTGCCTCTTGATCCCTATTTAATGAGCACCTACTATGCACTAGGTGCTGGGCTGGGGACACTGCCGTGACCCAGAGAGACCCCCACCCTCAAGGAGTTTACTATGTAATGAGTTGCAGGTTTTTTTTTTTAATGCAATGGGGTGATTGGGCAGCAGGTTATGGGGGGATGGTAGATTTAGTTAGGGGTGATCAGGGAGGGCCTCCCTGAGGAGGTGACACGTGGGCAGAGACACAAAAGACGGGAAAGATCCAAACTCAGGAAGACATGGAGGAAGATGTGGGAAAACCACATTCCTGCTGGAGGGAGCCGCAGGTGCAAAGGGCCTGGGGCAGGAGCTATCGCAGAGGGCAGCGTGGCGAGCACAGGGGAGCAAAGGGGAGAAAGTCATCAGTTTTTAATTTACAGTTCTTTGAGTTCTGCCCAATGCATAGTCGTGTAACCACCATCGCAATCAAGACACAAAATGGTCGCATCTCCCCCAAACATCTGCTCGTGTCCCCTCTGTCCTCTGCTGGGACAAAACCCCTGGTGCCTGCCCCACCCCCTGTCCCCACACCGCATAAACATCCGTGTACAAGTTGTCGCGTGGACACGTGTTTTCACTTCGCTCGGGCGAGCACCCAGGGGCAGGGGTGCCGGGCGCTTTTTGGCAGGCGCGCGCTCAGCTTTATGCGACAACGTCAAGGGGCTGCGCCGTTCTGCCACCCCCAGCAGCGCAGGAGACCCGCCGTCGCTCTGCGTCCTCACCGGCTCTTGGGATTGTCGGTTACAAATCTTTTAGCCGTTTCCGTACGCGCGAAGTGGCATCGCGCTGTGGCTTTGATTTGCATTCCTCCGGTGGCTAATGGCATCGAGCGTCTTTGCACGTGCCTCTCCGCCATCTGTGTGTCTTCGGTGAAGTGGCCACAGAGAGCTGCGGGATGCTTGTAAAGGCTGCGTCGGGTGTGGAGGGTGGCAGGGGAGGGGAAGTGACTGCCTCGAGGCAGGCAAGAGCCGAGGGCGGGCAAGGATGGTGGGCGTGGAGGGGTGCGAGTGGGCCAGTTCTGGAGAAGCCCAAGTCCTCCTTGAGGTCCGCCAGGCCCTGCACACCCTGCCCTGTCCCCTCCCTGTCCTCCCCTCCTCCCTCCCTCCCCCTCCTCCCTCTGCTCCAGCCACACGGGCCTCCTCGCTGAGCCTCCAACACACCAGACGGGGTCCTGCCCCAGGGCCTTTGCACGGGTTGTGCCTCCGCCTGGGATGCTGTCCCCCAGATGCCCTCACATGGCTTCCTCTCTTGCCTCCTTTGGTCCTCAGACCGAATGCCACGTCCTCATTGAGGTCTCCCCTGACGCCCCGTTTAGGCTGCAACTCCCCCACCCTGGGGAGCCTCATTTTTCTTCCTCGCTGTAGTTTTCTCTTCAGTACTGAACTTACGACTCTCTGACCTAACACGTTTTGCCTTTATAGCGTCTGTTTCCCCTAATAGACTGTGAGCACCACGACTTTGGGGACTTTGTCCCCGGTGAGCTCAGGTCACACCTGATGCATAGTAGACGCTCAACGGATATTGAGTGAATGAAACAGGCCCCTGCCCTGCACAAAACCCCACTGAGGGTCCCCCTTGCCCTCTGACCACACCATTTCCTCTGCCTTCGGGAGGGAAATAGAGTCAGAGCATGACGAGGAACCCCAAAGTGAGCCGAGGAGCCCATCTTGAGAACGGAACCCCTGACCAAGGGCCATCCAGTGCTTGCATGCCAGTGGTGACGAGGAGCTCGCTCCCGCATCTGAGGCATTCTTCTCCATTTCCTTCTTTTCGAGACCAGGCTGGTCTCGAACTTCTAGCCTCAAGTGATCCTCCCTCCTCGGCCTCCCAAAGCGGTGGGATTACAGGCGTGAGCCACAGCGCCCAGACTCTAGGGGCTCCCAGTCCAGTGAGAAAGATGGTGCGACAAGACAGTGGCAGTGTAACTGTGGCTGTGATGGGAGACCCTGGGTGCCGTGAGCGTCCAGAGAGGCACCTGTTGGCCAGTCTGGGAAGGCTTCCCGGGGGAGGAGGCATCCACATCAAGACTTGAAAGATAAAGTGGATGTAGTTCAGTGTTGCCTGGAAGGGTGTTCTGGATGGAGGGAACAGCATGTGCGAGAACCCAGGGTCCCAGAAGGCACAGGAGACCTTGACCTTTTCAAATCCTCCCTCCCTTTAACACACATCCACGCTTCTAACAAGTTGTAACAAATAATGACACTTCGAGTTTATAACAAGGTTTCAGCAGCCTGAACACGCTTGGGTGCAACGTTCTAGAGCAACAAACGGAAATGGCCCCCGTTATGAGCGCCCCCACTTTCCAGATGAGCAAACTGAGCTCAGAGAGGTTAAGCCACTTACCCCAGGGCAAACAGCTGGGACGGAGGTAGAATTCGGATCCAAACAGCCCATCTCCAGAGAGCACCATCCCCTCAAAGAACAGTCCAAATGAAGGAGTGAATTGTTGAGCAAGGGCAGGGTGATCTGTCCCTCCCAGGCCAGGTTACTTAGGGTGTCCCTTGTGCCTGGCTCTATT